GAATGGGTCTGCTGTGAGAATGGGTCTGCAGAGAAAATTTTGCCGCGATCCCAACTGTCTGTTATCAGCCTGCAGCCAGGGAGGAGAGATCAGCAGAGCTGCCTGCACTGAGTGTGTGTGTGAGGAAGTCCGTGGATTGGTCAATTTGGACCAATCAGCGGGGGCTTAACGTAACGGCTCCGCGGACGTAACGTAACGGCTCCACGGATTGGTCCATTTGGTTCCGGGAAACGCATGCCATCACGAGGTACCCGGAAGAATCAATGGACAGTGACGTTTCACCAACGAGGCGTTTTGGGGAGGTCTTTTCTGTGTTAGAGTTTTACTTACAGGGTGTACTTTGAGGGTTTTGACTCTGCAGACCGTTTACATGCATAAAAACCTTCATAACACACAAGGGGACGGGTAATAACCAGAAAAGCATGACATGGGACCTTTAAATCCCAGGGAATATTTAAAATGTATTACTTTCTAATCTCAGGGGAAATGATACTTCCCCTTGAATATGTTAACTTGAATTTAATCAAATGTTATTTTTTTGTCATAAATGTGATTTCTTTTTACCACTTTTATCCCAGATAATATTTGAAATGTATGATTTGACAAGCTCAGAGAAAAGTCCTGTTATTTCTTGTACATTTCTGACTTTAATGTCATACAATGAAGTGTTTTTCTCATACATTTAAAAAGTGTTTTTCTTTTAGATCTATCCTATAATGACCCTGATACACATTCCTACTTCGCCCTTATTGTGTTAAATACATTTTATAATGTTTTTTGCCCCAGGTGTTTGAGATCAGGAACACAGAGGACCTGACGGAGGAATGGCTCAGAGAGAAACTCGGCTTCTTCGGCTAAACTCCTCTCACCGGTGTTCGTGGATGTGAAGATGACGCACAACCTCTGGAGGAGAAAACAGTTAACGTCTCCTCCTCTGCTCCAGACCTGATTCAAATACTGTTTGCAAATACCTTCAGTTTTACAGTTTACGGCACACTACAATTCAGTTTGACTCTAACTAATCCCCTCAAACTGAAAACACTATTTGACGCAGGTCTGCTTCGCTTTTCATACAATCTCTCTATGTGCCAGTTATGTGTCTGTATTAAATGAACACTCCAATAGCTCCTAAAAGATCTGAAATGAATCTCTATCATCCGCCCTTATTGGCATGACATTCAGGAGAAAGGCATTATAACAACAGATTTACTTTCTTCCAGTCGTTTACTCACAGCGTTTCTCTAACTTACTTTTGGATTCTTTTTCTTTTTCTGGTGTATTTAGGGTTATTTAAACGTATAGCAGACACTTTCTATAATGTAACAAACACACTTCCTGCGAGAAGATCATAGAGTTTTAAGTCGGTCTCACCTTCAGTATTGATTGAAGGGCATTTCAATTGTAACAAAATGTATAAAGCTGCAACAATTAGTCGACTAATAACCGATTATTCGTGGAGTAACAGACAACCTCTCAAACATGGAGATTTGCTGCTTTTCTCATTTTTATATCATTAAATTAAAAAACAAAACATCACCTCAGACTTTGAGAAACTGGGGTGGACATTTTTCTGACATTTTATACACTCAACATTAATCGACTTAATCTACAGAATAATCTGCAGGTTAATTGATTTTTAAAAATCCCCCCCCCCCCNNNNCCCCCCTAAAACTGTCCCATAACTCTAAGAGCATTCCTAAAACGTGTGTGCTATGTGTTGTACCTCCTTCTGTGTTATCGCGTGGTGCTCATCACACTGCAGATCTTCTGTTTAGAGAGAAAACATGATGCATTATGGGTAAAGCTGTAATCTGCCTTTGACCTGCATATTTCTCACTCCTAAAAAAAACAACATTTCCACTAAAGCATTCCAGATTGAACAATGTATACACACAACAAACCTCTGTCTCTGACACACACACACACACACACACACAGATTGTTAGCTAATATTGTGCATCATAGTTATTGCCGTTGTTAGTGTTTCTGAATGTTGTTTCTCATCCTGATGTGATTTTGATCTCTTAGCACAGCGTTGACAAAGATGGCGGCTGTGACTCCTTCATATTTAGATATTGGAGGTAAAGGACGGCATCGGGGAAATTTACATTTTCCAACAGGGTTTGACCAATAAAGCTTTGTGACGGCTGATATTTCTGTTTCTGAATGTACCCAGCAGCTCCTATTCTGCGCCAAAATCTAATATTTACAGTCCTGTCTCTTTTCTATTTTTACAGAAGCAGTACATTCGTATTTAACGATTTTGTTGACTAATGGTTGACTACATTGAATTACAAGATTGCTTAAACTCCTAAAAGACTCATGCAAAAGCTCCTCTAGTGTTGAAGCATTAAAGAACGATAAAACAATCTGTGAAATGACACAGAAACCAACAAATTAGCTAAATAAACAAAGACTGAAATTACCTTTTTTTATTTTCTAGCTTGAACACATTTCAAAGTGAATGTGCTGGATTAAAAGCAAAATAAATCGTGTCACTTTCCAAACATTTATGGACTGTATTTGATGTTTTGGACTATTGTATGTCAGTTTTTCCTGTGAAGCAGCATTTTAAACACACTTAAATGCTTCTATTAACAGCAGGAAGACTAAACCCAGATAGTTGAAGCGACATGACATTTATTTAACACAACTGTATATTTCTGGTGGTTTTATGTGAGAGAAACTTCCGTTATCAAGATGTATACAGACAATAATTAGCACAAATGTACATCAATTACAGTGATACTGCTAAGTCGACCATAACAAGGCCTTTCCTTAATTTTAGGTGTCGTCCTAAATACGTCAATTTAAAAAGGCCAAAAACTATATATGCTATAATATGTTTTGGAAGGGATAAGTAGAAAGTTATGGGAAAAGCTTTGTTGGGATAATTTCGATAGAGATTTGACTTAATGATATGTACGCACAATCACACAAACCTTCATGTGAATTATCTATTGACGTGTAATATTTGACCTGGTAATCCATCGGGAACAATGGAGTGTAGCTGTTATTTTATCTGCTGTTTACTGATGCCATCAAAGCTTAGATTAGTCAGTCATTAGAGTTAGTATCTTGCTGCTGTAGCAGACAGTTAGTTTCTGTAGTCGAGCTGAAGTTATACAACATCCTTAAAGGAAGAGAAAGTTTTATAACACTACGACCTGCAAACCCCTTTATATTTTATTTGAAATGTGCAATCTGCTGATTTCAATGTGAATATAGAAACCTTTTCTGCTGTTAACGAAACTCTTTGAAATGTGGAGAGCTACTGTAAAAGAGGTGCATGCTTTTAATGTGAAAGGGTTAGAAAGGCTTGAAAGAAATGTCACTCATACATGCTGCTCTGTTACATGCAATTTAAATGATTATGATCATTTTATTAGACTGAATTTATTTGCATATCAATTCCTAAAAAAAAGGGGGGAACACCTGCATCTCAAACATCTGGTCTCAGCTGTTCTTGGAATATTTACGAGCATATTTTCACAGAAATGGGTTGAAGTAGACTTAATTAAATCACATTTAAATACATTTTTTAATTAATGGTCTTTTTGGTTTTGTTCTTGGTTTTTTCCTGTGGATCTATAGCTGGCTTCCCTCCTCTGTGGTGAAATTTCCAAAGTGTTGTTCAGCTCTGGGTGTCTTCTCTGATGAAATGCGTACTTATTTTTCTTTCCTTTTGTAATAAAACACACCTGAGATGTATCATTTTACCAGCTGCCTCATGGCATCAGTGAAACTTGACATATTTGTATTTTCCATACTTTATGAAGTGTCTATTGTCCTGTTGTACAAATAAAATGACAGTGATGTTTACCCCTCTGTTTTTTTTTTTAGACTTGTGTGAACATGTTCCTCTATCAGGTTCGTCATTGACCTGAAAGTGAAAATATAAAATATAAAACAAGCAATCATGGGAACAATTAACCATGACAGGCCTTAGCTTACAGTGATTTTACAGCTGGGTGGCGTTGTTAGGGCAACGATGTTCTTCTATATTATATGTGTTAGGAACCACCCACCACAGGCAATTTCAGTAACGTTGGAGTTGGAGTAGGAGAATATGCCCAGAAGCACATACATTACTCCAGAAGATGGCAGTATTGCTACCAGCTAGCTAACTACTGACTGTAGAAGAAGACCAACCGACACAATCTCAGCCCGGTGACCGACTGCCTGCCTCTGCATCACCGCCACGGATCGAGCCAGGACCCGACCCACAGAACCGGAGGAAAAATGGCGTTCACATTCGCGGCCTTCTGTTACATGCTGGCTCTGCTGCTCACAGCGGCTCTTATCTTCTTCGCTATCTGGCATGTGAGTACACGTTTGGGGCCACTGTGAGATAAAGACTTTCGGCCCCTGGCACTGATTAAAAAAAGAGCCAGGAACGGCGATTGAAGACCGGGGCTAACGTGTATGCCAGGCCGTCTTTGGGGCATTGTCCCCGGGACGTTTTTAACCGTTTTAACGTCTGGATCGGACGTTAGGTCCATAGCAACTGCCGCGCTTAGAAAAATACGTCACGTCAACAGTTCTAGAATGAATGGCATTATTACAGTCAGCCGTTGGGCTAGGAGCTAACGTTAGCTAGCAGTAGAAAAAAAATCAACTAAAAACGATTTAATCGTTTTAACGTAACCCTCTTCTACTATTAATGTGTTATTAACCGTAGTTCTTATTAAATAACACATGTCTAATCATGTATCATGCCTGTTAAATGATTATAGATTAGATATTATTATCTGATAGCTTGTTAGCATGCTTAGCTAACAGTAACGTCAAACTGTGATGGTGCTGTCAATCACCAGAGATTCTGTCTTTTTCCACGACATGTCACAGTTTCTTGTTTTGTTATTGTTTATTTTACTTTCACAATGTCAATATAATCAGTGCAGATTGTAAACTTTACTCAGTGGTGGGTATTTGAATAAATGTTCTTGAGTACATTTACTCACTTGAGGTAAATCAGTTACTATGGAATATAAACAACACTTAAATCAGACTTTAGTTACACCTGCAGTAAATTCACAAGCTACCCTGCAGTAAAAAATTATTAAAACTAGCTGCACCTTTGATAACACTTGAATGCATGTAATGTTGAATGCATCAATAATTATAATCAAGTAGTCTAAGTATATTTTTGATGCTTTTGTACTTTTACTTGAGTAACATGCAGGACTTTCACTTATAACATACTGTAGTTTTCCTACACTCTGGTACTTCCACTTTTACTTAAATTCAAGCTCCGAGTACTTCTTCCACTTCTGCTTTTACTTTAGTTGATCATTACTCAAAAAGTTGCATTGTTAACGTAACACATGTTTACCATATAAATATAGTTTGTTGGTGTAAATAAACATGAATTATGTGTCATTTAGAATAAAGAAAATTACATGGACTGTGGATGTGAACATATTATTAAATATCACGTCATTACGATGTTGTTACAGTAGGTTTCAGTTGTAAACAACGAGAATATTTGGCCAATATGATGCCATCTGTCCTACATTGCTATGAGGGGTAACGCTAAAATATTTTGTCGTATAGTGCAAACATATATCTAAAATATTTTTCAATAATTATTTGATTTCATCCTGGCATTTTACAGGATTTGCTGCTTTATTTATCAATTGTTTGTGACCATTTTTGTCGGACAAAAGTTACAATTAGCAAGCTTCTTTGCTTCTTGGAATTTATAATGGCCGTTTTTCACAATTTTCTTCCATTTAGTAAAATAGAAAATGATTGATTCATTGGAGGGGAACATTACAGATAATTTCACAGTAAAAATAACCATTATTTGCAGACCAATTGGAGAAAAAAAAAACATATCTATAGTATGAATGTTGCATATGAAGTTACTGCTCTTAGTAAAAGATGTGGCATTACAATAACAAAGTGACATATTGATGATACACACTTATGACGCCTTTAAAACCTGCAAAAGATTCCACGTATACCATAGTAGAATATCCCAAAACTAAGAAGATATCCAGTCTCGTATTATGATATTGTAAGGGCACAACATTTGCATCATGTACCAGAGAAATTCTGGTAAAATATGCAAGTTGCTTTTAGATATGCATCCCACAAGACACAAAAACAAACAATGGTCATCTATTGAGTGACAGGTCAAATATAACATTTGCATTCGGTGATAAAATAGTTACTTGTACAGCCTGAAAACTGATGCATTTGCCAGCCCTTGAACATACTATAATTCTCCCATCTTACCGAATCAATTCAAATTTAAATTAATATCCACCTTCCCTTAACTGTGTTATTTGACATTACGACCCTTAACTATCAAAAATCCAACATCCCTTAACCCTAAAATCCACCTTCCCTTAACTGTGTTTTAAAATGTACATTTGCATTGAGCCGCCGTTTGTGATTTCTNGAAGAGTGGAACAGGCTAGCAAGTGTGCAGGTGTGCGTCATATGAGAGGCCCCGCCTTACATTTTCCGCCACAGATTTGGGGAAATTGGTCCGTGCGCAAAGCATTGTGGGGATTTTAAGACCGGAGTCTACACATGTGCAGCATCGAAATGTCTCGCTACGAAGGACGCCGGCCTCGGTAGAATTCCAAGTATGCTGGACATTGGAACAGTCCTTCGGCGGCACTCGATGACGTAGTATGCTTGAAATAGTGGCTCTGGAGCATCCTTCCTCGACATTGAGAAACACCCAGTGACAGTGTTTAATACATTTTAATACAAGTTCAGCAATTTTGTGCCTAATTTGATATTCTTAAATTGGATTTATTTAAATATCGGTCTTGTTTTTTTTATAGATATTGGACTTAAATTATTTGTTGCTTCTAGCCTATTAAAAAAAAGCGTTTTCACTGCGTTCTAAAAAGCTTTTGCCCTCCCGCTTACCGTACATAAAGAACCGTGCACTAATGAGTACGGTTCATAAAGAAAGTTCGTATAATCAAATCTAATCGGATTCATCAAATTGATTTAAAATGTAGGTGTTTTTTTCAGGATGAGGCCAATCATTAATACTACGACAGACGTGAGCAGCTTCGTTGGCAAACCTCGAGCTTCGAGTGTGAAAAATAAGTAATAAAAATAAAGACATTCGGTGCAGCCCTAGTTTTGGCTCCAGCCTCGTCGCCTGCGGTTCTGAGCAGATGGCGGCAGAATCCCAACACACAGCAATATTTAGCAGCAGCTGATTGGTTAGTGATTTCAGGAGTAGGAGGAGAGATTTTAGTTTTAAACATACATTCCTCCGTCTCTAATCCTCAGTTCTTTCTGCAGTGTTTGTCTTTTTGTGTGAGGAGGGTGTGAGCTGACGTGTTTCTGCTCTTGTTTGGGATTTGGCAGCACAGTGCAGGATTTCCACTCCTCCCTTTCCTGCACCTTTCCCTCACCTTTCCATCTGTGGACTGCCCCCCTCCGCCCTCTGCACTTTTTGAATGCATGGCTTCCATGTGGTGCCTCCATCTGCCCCCCCCCCACCACAGTGAGCGGCTGCTGCTGCATCCTCACTGCTCTCAGCATGGTCCTGTTTACAGTGTGTTTGTCAGGACGCTCTGCCGTCACTGCATACAAAAAAAGTGCAAACATTCTGCAGAACAAGTCTTTGATGGGTTTCCCCTTTTGATCTGTGGTCAGATTTGATGAGCCATGACATTTAACCAGGGTGGGAAATAAGCCTTTTTTATCCACCTGCAACAACCTCCTAGATTTTTTCATTCCACGAGTAACTCGCTTTATTTATCACAATTATAAGTCAGTGATAAAGCAGGATGCACGATGTCTAATATTTACATGTTTGCTACAGACAAGACAACTAATATTTTCAATGTCAAATAAGGCAAATTAACAAAAATGCATCATTCCACAACTCCCTTCCTGCTTGATACAAAAGGATAACCATTTTGATGACAAGTTTACACAATAATGTACTCTAATCGTAAGCCTCTTGGATACAGTTTGTTGCTGGTGTGAGACAAGCAAGCGTTATCCACATCTAACAATCACAATCCTTCATTAACGAATAGGAGAAACATGCAGAAAAGTAACATTTGGTTTCAAAAAGAAAAGTGGCTACAAAAGGATCGACCAAATCAGGAAGGATTGGTGCAATATCGTGCAGCCCTATCTTCCTCTGAAACAGAAAAGAATATGTATTAGTTATCATCTCTCCATCTGAATTATATCTAATAACGCATTTACTCAACATACAGTATATCGTGCATCCCTAGTGCTAAAAGCGACCTGGCTGCAGTCACACATTACATGTTGTCCCACATTAAGCAGAGGTAATGATACTCCTCACTGCGGGAGATGATAGCCAGCCAAGTGGGGTCTTTTCTCCTCACGTTAGTGTTAAAATCAATCTCATTTTGCAGGTGGCAGGCAGGCCTTCATTTCCCTCCCTGTTAACTGTGTTACGCAGTATGTCAGATGGGTGCATGATGAAGCACTGTTTACATATTTAACCTGCAGCAGAGGGGCATGAGAGTGCGACAGGAGGCTTAATAACATATCGCATTGTTAAATAAAGCAGCTCATTCATATTTCACTCCTCCTGTCTCTGGCTCTCTGTGGAGCTGACTGCAGTTCTTAAATAGCTCTTTGTAAAGAGGCCTCATTATCTCTGTAACTTCAATGAATGATTAAGTCTTTAGTGAGGCAATTTAAAGATTTGATCTGGCAGTAAACGAGTATGCAGGATTATAAGAACGGTTAATGCTTGTGTATTTTTAACATGTTGTTTTTATTTTTGCTCTGTTTTTAAGCTGGTTCTCCCAGAGTATCTCATCCATTTCTTCTTCTGCGTGATGTTCTTCTGCGCGGCCGAGTGGCTCACGCTCTCTCTCAACCTGCCGCTGTTCGCCTATCATGTCTGGAGGTGGGTAACGCTCATAAATAAATAACCAGTTAGAATGCTTCATCTATTAATACACCATGAGCCATTTAGTGTGCAGGACAAAGTACAGAATAGTCAGATTCGAGGAGGTATATCATGTTATCTTTTTGAATTATGTCATTTTAGGATAATTCACATCAAGTTTTAAGTTCTGCTTTTCTCGATTTAATATCAAATGAAAGTAATATCTCTGGGATTTGGACTGACAACAACACATCTGAAGACGTCACCTTGGACTCTGAGTTACAGCGATGGACATTTTTCAGTATTTTCTGACACTTTACACAACGAGAATAAATAAAAACCAAACGAGAATAAATAAAACCAAACGATTAATCTAGAAAATGATCAGCAGATTAAAGCGATACTAAAAATAATCGTTAGCCGTAACAGCGTGCAGGGAATACTGATTTGTTCAAAATCTCCTGAACCATGGATACTGCAGGAATCTTAACTGGGAGAAGCTAAAGACTACAACTCCCATAATGCCTTGCAGCTGGCTGACAATGATCTGTCTTTGTGTCCCCGTGCTGCAGGTATATGAGCAGACCGGTGATGAGCAGTCCGGGGCTCTACGACCCGACCACCATCATGAACGCTGACATCCTGGCCTTCTGTCAAAAAGAAGGCTGGTGCAAACTGGCTTTCTACCTGCTGTCCTTCTTCTACTATCTCTACGGGTACAGAAACTCTTTTAACTTCGTTGTAAAGTGATTTTTTTTAAATAAGTAATCTGGGGATATGTAGTTTGTAACAATCATGGAGTTGACTTCATCTTGGGCGATCTGCCATATTTCTAAATGTAAAATATCTAGAGCAGATTGGGTTTCTAATTAAGTATGGTGCTTATTTGCCTTCGAAACTCACAATTATTGTGTTCTTGAATTTTGCTGCTGTTACTCAGCGGCAAATTAAGCTGATTTCAGATGGGATTTAATTGCAAAAGTGGGTCGAAAAGGATGCCAGATAACGGGATAATGATTTAAGAATAGTAAAAAGTCTGGTTGCAGGACGACAGCTTTTAATACGCTTCATTCAGACCGTGGCTAACATTGTAGCTCACGTAGCTTTATGGAGTAATACTTGAACGCAGCATAATGCAAGTCAATCGCACTTCTGTCAATTTTACTTTTATATATTTTAACAATATAGCATTATAATGTTAACAGGTGAGTTTACTCTCTCCTATCATTTTTTTAAAGCCTTGCTATCAAACTATAAGCTCCCAGGACCAGAGGTACCAACGCGGTTTGTGAATTTAAGCATCGACTTGCTATCGAATTATTGTTTCTTGTGACGTCCCTACACCTTATAATAGAACGACCCTTAGGTGAGAAATCCAACGTCCCTTTACGTTAAAATCCAACCCTTAATTGTTTTCTCGGACATAATGACCCTGAAATCCCTTAACTGTAGAATCCAACATCCCTTAACTGTATTTGAGGACATAATACCCCTCTGATGTTAAATCCAACATCCCTTAACTGTTTTATTAATGACCCTTAACTATAAAATCCAACACCCCACAAATATATTATAAAACGTAACAACCCTCAGATGTCAAATCCAAAATCCCTTAACTGTAAAATCCTACCTACCTTAACTGTTTTATAGGTCATAATGACCCTCCGATGTTAAATCCAAAATCCCTTAACTGTTGTATCCAATGTCCCTTAACTGTTTTGTATGACATAACGGCCCTTAACTATAAAATCCACCCTCCCTTAACTGTATTTTAGATCCAAAATCCCTTAAGTGTAAAATCAACATCCCTTAGCTGTATTATAGGACAAAATGACCCTCCGATGTTAAATCCAAAATCCCTTAACTGTTATATCCAACGTCCCTTAACTCTTTTTTTAGGACATGACCTCTAAATTAAAATCCACCTTCCCTTAACTGTGTTATTTGACATTACGACCCTTAACTATCAAATCCAACATCCCTTAACCCTAAAATCCACCTTCCCTTAACTGTGTTTTAAAATGTACATTTGCATTGAGCCGCCGTTTGTGATTTCTTACATTGTGATTGTCTTTCTCCCGCTCCAGATAATAGCATTTGATGAGCTCAAGACGGATTACAAGAATCCTATAGATCAGTGTAACACTTTAAATCCGGTAAGTGACTCCACCGTACCTCACACACCCTCCTTGCCTCTTTGCATGCAGAAAAAGCTTTGTTGAAATGTCTTTTTTATTTACTTTAGGAGGACTTTATCCGCCTATTTGTCTTTTTTCAATCATTTCTCTGCACTGTTATGCTAAGTAACCTGCCTGTTGTGTGAGTTCAGTGATCTTTCCAGCTGTAAAAACTCTAATGCTTTTGTTTTGTCCTAATCTGCTTCTATTTTTTTTACACTTTGTTAACGACAAAAAGCCAATTGAAAAGGTCAAAAAGATTAAGAGAATCAAAATTGCATTAAAGGTTTGTACCAGTCTTTAAAATGCTCGCTCAGTTCAACTCAAGTCTGCAGTCTTGTCATTTTGCACGGAGAAGTGTTTGCAAACGTCTTTTCAGTTAACTAATCTCAGAGTTAAAGCCGGAGTTTAGCCCGGGATTAGACGACTGGCTTCTTTTTCCTGTCCTGTAGTATTTCTTTATTTTATATTTTAGTGAACATTTTAGACTGATGATTTTCTTAAGCCTTTTAAAGTGTTGCTTTTAAGGGTTCAAGCATTCATGGAAATTAAAGATATATATATTTTTTTTATTGTTTACACCTCATGTAACCATTTGTTTAGGTGCATATTTAGATTGTAAGAACCACAGTGTGTTAGGGCTGTGCAATTAATCGTATTTTAATCTCGATTACGATTTTGGCTTGCAACGATTACGAAAACAACGTAATCGAAATAAAACGATTATTATTGTTATTTTTTATTATTATTGTTTTTTCAGTTGAATTATACTTAAAGTTCAGGGTAATCAACTGTTAAAAAACATACTGTTCACATTT